TTGGCGCTAGTGTACTAACAACATTTTCTCATGCTTTCTTTTGTGTTTTCAAATGAAACAGCGGTTATTCGCTTTAAATTCGAAACTGAAGTATTGTGCTTATTGACTGAGTGAAACTTGTTTTTAAGGCTAAAGACATCATGAAAGACTACAAACCACTTGTAGCAGAGAATGGAGGAAAAGTTGTCATCCTCATGGAGATTATCAAGGAAAGCTTGAGAGCTGGTGAAAAAGTTCTTGTYTTCAGGTGGGTTTTGAAGCAGACGTCACAATTTTCAGGAAGGCAGACTGTATATACAGACTGTATATACATTCCTAGGTGCTCCGTTTAATGCTATGCAATAATGCTTTAACTTTGTGTAACTGGTGCTTTGTTACAGCCAAAGTTTGTCAACACTGGGAATTATTGAAGACTTTTTGTCCAGGCAAGAGATCCCTTATTTTCCAGGAAGGCCAGGAAACAATGGTACCYCAAAGTGGGCCAGGAATAAGAGCTATTTCAGTAAGTGTCATCARTGTGAAGTTCATTTCGTGTTTTGCTATTTTAAACCTGAATATTTCTATCTTTAGGGCTAGATGGAAGTACACCATCTCAGGAAAGAGATCGTCTTATCAATGCTTTCAATTCACCCGATAATTGTGACGTTCTGTTGTTTATGTTGTCTACCAGGTAAGCTTGAAAGAAAATAAGAATTCAGTAAAAAAAAAAACAGGGAAAGAAACGTTAATAAGTATCAGGGGTTAATAAATGTATTTGTAGAAATGACCAATCACATTACATCAATTACATTAAATTAATTGACTCGATTATTTCAGTATAGTTTAATTAAGTGATATTTTAAAAGCTGAATTTTACTCGTGGTACCGAGATACGGTKGAACAAATGAATAGAATGAAATTAAATAAAAGAAATTGTAAACTTAAAACCTTGATTTGAATTGTATTTTCTGACAACAAATATTTCCAGATCCTTTTTCCTGGAATTCTATGTGTACAATTTCTCAATAAATACTTAGAATTACTGT